AATCTTGTCAATCAGAGTTACGGTTCATGAGATATGGCCAAAACACTGACAAGGGGTGAAGCTGTCCAGCAACATCCTTCTTTCTTCAAAATCCAAGATCCAAGCCTCCAATCGCCAATTCCGCTTCATTTTCCTTTCGAGCATGTCTTTGTTGCTGAAAATGAAATATTTAAGCTAATTAAGCACCTTGGGTTCATTATTTGAGATAAAATTAACATAAAGTATTAAGATCATTCATGATTCTTATGACTAAATATGCCCATATCACTCCTTCAATCTTCCATAGGTTGAGTTTGTGTCCAAAGATTAAGTCCAATGCACTTATTGCTTATATTGACACCGAGTCCAATTGTACCACCTCAAGTCCACAAGCAAACCGCAAGCCTCCATAAGTCCCGCACTCCTTCCACGCCTCCAATAACAAATAGTCTTCGATAAATCCTGCAAATAAGCTCAAAAGACTGGAAAGCACCCGGTAAAAGAGAAAAATAACAAAAAGAGAAAATATGCATGAAGATTAACTAAAATGAGATGGCTTTAACTAAAAATAAACTATGAAAAGAAGTAATAAAAACAAAACTATCAGGAAGATTGGGGCTTACAATATCTTAGGGAATTATTCTTAGCTTTTACAAAAATGGTCCATGTATTATTCAAAAGTTTTAATTAAAAAGAAAAAATAAAAAGGATATAGCTTTCATTTATATGAATTTACTAGATCATTTTAGATGGTAACAACCTAAAAAAACATAAGTGCAAGTTTTGGAATGCATAAGTATAATCATTGTAACACCTTGTTTTGAGTCGTTTCCCAATTGTGGGTTGTGACTCAAAGATCAATTATCATAAGGCTTTAGTCTTTGAGGAAATAGAGGTTTAGACATATTTGGATGTGGGTAATGTAGGTTAAGTGATCCAAGAGTTTAGTTTGTGCTTTGGAGCCCAAGGATATAATGGTAAAAGTGATGGTTCATACCTTTCATGAATTACAAATTTAAGTTTGGAAGGTTTTGAGGTAAAAGGGAGTTGATAGGAGTGTAGGGATTCTCATTACCTTTATGAGCATATAAAGAACGCCGAAATCAAAGTTGGAATGAAGAAGTTATGGCTTTTTGAAGTTTAAATGAAAACTAGGATTTTATCCAGTACGTTGGACGTACACCAGGTAGTATGTTGGGTGTACTGACTATAGAAGGTCGCATGATCACGCTAGTATGCTAGGCGTACTTGTAGGTACGTTGGGCGTATGCTGGCAAGAGAAAACCCCTAATTCTTTGGGTTGGAACCTACTTAAGCATCATTAACTCTTGGAACCCTCCCCATATCCAACCTCCATTCTTCTCAACCTGCAATCTCGAACCCTATCACTATTTATGAATATCCTGAGCCTCTTGAGCATTTTTATGAGATTTTTGTAAGAAGAAGCTTAGAGAAGGATCATTGGTTGGATTTAATCTTGTAGATCCAAAATCTATTCATATTCACCATCCTCTAGAAGGTATAAAGTTCCTAGCTTGGTGAATTTTTTCTTAGATCTAGAAAACTTGGAGTTTTTGGGCATATCTTGGTCCTTTGAGTTGTTCTTCTGAGTTTAAGCTACTCCAAAAGCTTAGGATGTTAGATCTTAGTGTTTCTGAGGTCCCTTGTGCATAAAAATGGTGGCTTTATGGGCTTAACTCAACCATGCAAAGGTTGATGCTCATTTTATGAGGATAAAGTGTTAAAGTTGGGTCTTGGGGCTTATTAAGCCATGCATAAGGTTAAAGCTTCTGACTTTATGGATTGAGACCTTGAGTTGGAGTAGATATGAAGTCTATACCTAAGGGTCTTAAGGGTTTAAGCCATCCATTGGAGGGTTAGTTCTCATACCAGTATGTCGAGCATACTTTTATGTACGTTATGAGTACTGGGTTTGAACCCCTTAACTTGGTTATGGGTGAGTACATGGGGCGTACGAGCTAAGTACACCCGATGTACTCCCAATTATGGGTTTTGGGCTATTTTAGGCTTCAGGTGCTTTTGGGTTTGAGCCATGGTTATTTGGGCCGATTAGAGGAAAGGGTAAAATGACCTTTTTACCCTAAGGAGTCGTGTTTAATGAATTAGAGTCCCGATTATGATTTATGACCCAATTATTGATAAGGGTATTATTTTATTGATTAGTACGAGGATTCTATGGTTCAACAGCCCGAGCATCTATTTGTTTATCAGCGGATCGAGGTGAGTTTGCTCACTATAATGTAGGATACTAGGGTTAGATGTGCTAGTTGTCTTTGTGACTCTTGTTGTATGATTGTATGCCTGTTTACTATATGTATGTGAGGTGAAATAGACCCGGGGGTGAAATTGACCCGTGCGGTTGAAATAACGATTGCGTTGAAATGACTCGGGGGTGAAATAGACCTGAGAGTGAAATAGACTCGGTACAGCCTTAAGCTGACATATGAGTTGAAATAGACTCAGAGGTGAAATAGACTCATGGGTAAAATAGACTCGTTATAGCCTTGAGCTGACGTATATGTATGGTATGCGGTATTTTAGGGAACTCGCTAAGCTTTGTTTTTACGGTTTTTAGTTTATGTTTTAGGTATTTTCTGCTCGAAAGGGAAGAGATCTGGATGATCGCATCTCTCTCTCTCACACACACACACACCATGATTTCCGCTTTATTTGACTCTGATTTATTTTTGGATGAATGTTGACATACTCTGATTTCACTTATTATTTTTTTATAAACATGTTTGGTTGATGGTTTTATAAATACAAAAATGAAATTTTTGGTTATAAATTTTGGGACGTTACAATCATTGTAAAAAATTAAAAAGTTTGATTAAAAATATAATTTGGTGTAAACCATAGTGACCAAAACTATAATTTACTCTATTAAATAAATCTCCATGCTATTTAATTATATAAATATATATTCATATATTTCTATATTAATAAAAGAACAGTTATTAGTGTCACTTATCATTTTCTCATAATTTATGTTTTTTTTTTTTCAAATGCTCTATAAAAAAGGACAATTGTCATTTTCTCATCATTTTTTTTTTATTTTTTAAAAAGTATTGATGTTAATAATAAGTTAGACAATTATTTATTTGATCTCTAATTTTTAGGTGAAATTTAAATTCATCTTGAATAGTTTCGGTTATGATTGTCGATAATGACTTGTATTTCTATATTGAAAATCCTATAAAATTATGTTTAATTAATAATTTTTTGAAAATAATTATGATTTTTTATTATAAAAATTTAATTATTTTTGTAACCGTAGTTCCCACGAGATATAAATTAGTTTAATTAAATATATTATAAGTTTAAATAAAAAAGTTTTGAAGTTAACTCAACATATTCTAATATTTTTACATTTATTAGAAACTTTATCTATGTTAATTAGCCCCGACAATCCAATTACCAATTTAATAATTTATCACATCCGAGCATTTTGATATATAATTAGGTACTAGTTGTGAGACTCATATATTACACGAGTTAAATTAAAAAAAAAAGTAAATATAAATGTCAAAATATTTGAGAACTTTGAATTTATAAGAAAAAAATAATTAATTATTATAATTGAAATGTTTTTTATCTATTAAATTTAAACAAATAATCTCTCTATCTAATAAAAGAATAGTTTTATTCTGCTTTTGACAAGTATCATCTTATTAAGCCTCCTAATTAATGCATATTTTATTCTCATTTTGTCATTTATCATCATATTATATTTCCTAATTAATACATGACATTTAAAAACCTATTAATTATCCATTTCAAATTTCAAAATTTAAATTTCTCACTCTAATTATATTAAATTAATAACATTAGAATAAAAATTAATATAAACTTAATACACATTATAAAGTGATATAATTTCACATATTTATTTAAATCAATGATTAATATTTATATCACTAAAAAAATCTCTTAATTAATAATTTATTTAAAATAATTGATTAATAATTTTTAGTTTTATTTTAAAAGTTTAATTAATTGTATAACCGTGATTCCCACGGGTTATAAACTAGTTTAAATAAATAAACAAAAGAAATTAATGAGCTTTAACTTGAAATTTTTAAAATTAAAAGGTAAGTTCATTAATGAATTGATATCTATTTATTATTATATTTATTGCAACTATTATATTAAAATATTATGTGAAATTTAATAAAATAGAAAACTCATAAAATGACGTGTGAAAAAAAATTAATTCAAAATAACCACAAAAAGAGTTGGCCAATTTAATATGAAAAAAATTATGTAAAGAAAACATCTAAATTTCAATTTTACCAGCATAAGTTTAAAAATTTTACAAAATATAAAAAATATATAGATTGCATATAAAATATTAATAAATTTTCTACCATATTTAAATATATACATGAGAAATCAAGTAGAAAAAATTATCAAAGTGACATTTGAGGTAAAATAAATGAACAAAATACAAAAAAAAAAAATCATACATGAGTTTAAATAATATAAAAAGAAAAACAAAGTATAATTTCAACCAAAAATTACTAATGAGTTAGGTTACTTGGATAAAATTCTATGTATTGTAAATTGTACTATAAATATATGTTTTGTATTACTTTTATATATTAATATATATCGGGGACGGGTCCAAGGTCGGGGATTAGGGGTATCCCCATCCCCATCCCCTTCCTCACTTTTTTTATTCGGGGATTCTTCATCCCCGATCAACTTAGGAATTCCCCGATCAAAACGGGTGCGGGTTTTGGGTTCCTATCTGGACCTTTTTGCCATCCCTATTTATGCTAATATTAATATTTATTTTAAAGTTATTCAAACTATTGGATAAGATAAACCTTAAACTTTGATGGGCCTTGGATACGGCCGGCCCGATCACGTATGAAATGGAAAGACAACACACGTAGGCATATAAGTAAAACCCTCTACTGCTCCACAGTTTCGTCTTCTTCATAAAGACATAAACCCTAGTCAGTTTTAATCATCGAAACAGGGATCCATCCATAACGATGGAACCAACTCAAAATGATTTAGAACGACTCATGATCTTTGAACATGCTCGTATCACCGCAGAAGCTGCATACGCCAAGAACCCTAACGATGTCGATGTAAGTTTCTTCATTACTAAATTCATTTATCAGTTGATTCTATTTGATATGTTCTTTCTGTTATTATTCTTATAGTTTGCTTAATTAATTGGTATAAACTTTAAACCAATATTAACTTAACCCTTTAATATATACAGACTTAAAGATTAATAAGTGGACTTTCTTGTAAGTGATGGTCTTCAAGCTTTTATATTTATTAACTGATACAGATGAGTGATAAAAGATTTGATTCAGTGTGCTCTTTAGTTATTTGTCAAATAAAATTTTAACCATTCAAACCATATAAATTTAATCATTGTTTTTCGATTTTTATATCAAATTGTTAAGTAACATCAATACAACATGATTCTTTTTGTATGTTTGAATTCATGAAATCAACTCACTTGTTGGAATATTAGATCCGAGAAATGACAATATGACTTGTTGTAATGATAACAGAATTTGACAAAATGGGGTGGAGTTCTACTGGAATTATCCCAATTTGGAGACATCAACGAATCAAAGAAGATGATCAAAGGTACTTTATGCAGAGTTTCACATGAACACAACAATAATCAATTTATCAATTACTAAGAACTTGATAAACAAATTCAGATGCTGTTTCAAAGCTGGATGAAGCTCTATCCATCAATCCAGCAAAACATGAGGCTCTATGGTGCTTAGGAAACGCTTACACCACTCAAGGATTTCTAACCCCTGATCATGATGAAGCTCAGATTCAATTCGATCTTGCAGCTGAATTCTTCCAAAAGGCAGTAGACGAGGTTTTTTTTTTTTTTTTTTTAATCTTTCCCTTTGATTTTTTTCATAAACATAATCGATTAATCTCAGAAATATCAATTGGTTTTTAGATCTAATTTTGAATGTTTATGATCTCGCACTTGTTGTCTCAGTGTCCAGGAAACGAACATTATCTTCAATCGTTGGCAAACTCTTCTAAGGTATTTTTCTAAATACATTTTTGGAATTCTTTTATACTCTTTCGTTTCATTAATAATATTTTTTATAATGTTTCCAGGCATCTGATCTGCACAACGAGATCCACAAACAAGGAGGATTTAGTCAATCTCAACAGTCTTTGGGTGGAGGATCTACATCTACTACTACTACTACTACTACATTTTCAAATTCAAAGGTTGTATCAAATTAACCCCAATAAATAATATCAAAGTGTTATTTTATTTTTTGGCTAATGTTTTGATTGTTGTTATGTGTTGTAGAAATCCTCAAAGAAGAAGAGCAGTGATTTAAAGTATGATATATTTGGGTGGATATTCCTTGCAGTTGGGGTTGTTACATTGATTGGAATGGCCAAATCTAACGTGCCAAAATAAGATTTTTTTTTTTTTTTTTTGGGTCCCACGGACGCAAATGTTGTATCCTTTGCTCGATGTTAAATTCTTTTCAACTCCATGTAATCATTAGTATTGAGATACAGTTTGGTGTTTTGTTCTATTCTCCACTTTGTTAAGTTATTAAATTAAATTAGATTGTTATTAAAAGTGCTAGAATGGTAATGTAATTCACACACTATTACTGATAGCTTGTTCGAGAATTGTGTAGTGGATTAGTATTAGTTGCAATAGGAGGGCTTGTTTCAGTTCAATAATTTACTTAGTTGAAGATGTTTGGTTTGAGTGCTATATAAATTAGATTATTACATCTTGCTAATAATTTTGGTAAACCCAAAAATACTTTAAGCAATAATATTGGATAACAAGTTGAATGTGCACAAGTTTATACTTGCTTAGTTGTATTATAGTTGAAGTTGTATAGTTCTCTGAATTCCACCTATTTAATTTAGGTACATACAAATAAAACATGATATTTTTTTATACTTTTTATTAGGCTTTGTTTGCATTAGAAATTTAGAATCATATATAAGAGAATCAAAATTTATCATTTTATGGGCTAGACTTCGACATCCATGATAAACATAAGATAAAAGTAATATTTCAAACCAACTTCATAGTTGTCTTTAACCAATTTCTTGCAAAGTTTCGATTTAGGGTTTTAGGTTTAGTACCCGCATTTGAGCAACCACGTATAAAATAATAGTATTAATCGTCGATTCTTTGAGACCAAGTCGCTCGAAGGGAAGATGGTATGTTGTTATCAAAAGTTTCACATCTATTTTTTACATTAAGAAAAAAATTTAAAACATATCTATATTTGAAAAATAAGTGGACACTTATAGAAAACTCTTGAAGTTTGAACATGACGTTTATATGTTTAATAGATTGAAAAATCAAATATATTTCTATTTTTTATTTCTAATGCCTTTTGGAATCGTGATATGCGTGTTACCGGAGTAAACACCAACCCAAGGATGGCGCTGTCGGTGTTATCGTGGCTGGCTGAAGTTACGAACTACGGGTGTTGACGGAGGCAAGGTCATTTGACCGTTTAAATAATATTCTTTTTGTTTTTTTAAATCTTTACAAATTCTTTATAAATCATTCCTTGGAAACATCGTTTATAGTATTTGTAACACATACCGATAAACAATGTTTCCAAGGAATGATCGGAAACCATTGATTTTATGCATTGGGCGTGGGGAAATTGTTCGAATGCATGACGATGTCAATACACATACAAAGATCATGGATATCCTACAATAATGCTAGAAGTAGGTGTGTCACAAGATCTATATTTTTGGTATGCATACTTCAGTAGGTCGGGGTTAAATAACGAATTGAATGTTCTTTGTGCATCATATTCAACAAAATTTTACATGGCAAAGCACACAAGTTACGTTTTATTGTGAATAAAAATAAGTATACGTATGATTATTATCTTGGTGATGATATATATTTAAAGTACGTTATATTTGTCAAATATTATACATATCCACAAAATTAAAAAAGAAAATTGTTCAGAACAGTACAACAAACGGCAAGGAAGGATGTAGAACAGACTTTTGGAATCATAAAAGAGAAATGACACATATTTAAATACTCGATCATGGGACGTGGAAAAGCTAATGAAAGTAATGTATGTTGTGCTAATTTTACATAACATGATAATAAAAGAGAAGAGTCAACATATTTATCTATATCCATATATCATATAATAGAAGCATTTTTCCTCAAACCATATTCATTTGAAATTCTCTTTTTTTAACTAATACATTTTTCTTCAAACCACATTCATTTGAAACCATCTTTTTTAATTGTAATGCCTGTAGATTAGGTCTAGTCAATTTACAGACGATAAACGTCAAAAATGACTTTTGATGAAAGATTATTTATGTAACACCCCGTTCTTAAAGTATTTAATTATGAGTTCCAGAGATTTAAGAGGAAGGGTAATTTTGGTCCTTTTTCGGGAAATGGGTTTTATCCGAGAAGGTTTCGGGCTGGTGTATGTTGTTAGAAGCATAGGGCTTCTCGTCACCCTCGTGTGGATGTAAAGTCTATTGGGAGCAGGTTTAGAGTAGAGAAGTTGCAGCGTTTTGGAAAGGATAATTAATTATAGCTCTTACTGGAAAAGTGGAAAAAGGGGTTCCATGCATGAGTTTTGGGTTTCGGCTGGGTACGCCTAACGTAAGCTGGACGTACGCCTATCGTAGTAAAGGAAAGATGCGAGGTGGCCAGGTGAGTACGCCCAACGTACTCTCAGAAACCTCAAACCCTAATTTAAGGGCCACCACTATATAAGGAACATGTTGGTTCGTACCCTAGCCTCCATAAGCTCACCCTTAACCTCAGAAACCCTAGAAACCCGTATTCCCTCCATTGTTGGGTGTGTTTGGCCTTGGAAAGCTCATTTTGGCAAAAGAAAAGCTAGAAGGAGAAAGGAGAAGTTGTCATAGAAGAAGAAGAACGGTTGGAGCTTGTAGATTTGAAGAGATACCATCCTTTAGAGCTTTTTGAGTTCGGGATTTGCGGAAAGTTGGTGATTCGAGAGTCTGCTTCTTCAGTTCAGAGTATCAGCATTCGCGAGGTGAGTTATCCTCACTATATCAACAGGGTCTAAGGCACCAAGGCCGACCCTTTATCGGATTGAGATCCGGGTATTTGTTGTTATGCTATTGTTTTGATATGTTTACATCCTGGTAGTTAGGATGGTATATGCTAGAGACCGGTTAGGTCGGTATCCTGGTTAGGATGATGATATGTTATGTGATCTGTTTGATTGGCTTGTTGAGTGTGACCTGTTATATGATTGTATGTTTATGTGCACATGGTTGTTTGGACTGGAGTTGGGTTGAGGCAGGTCCTGCTTTGTGCTGTAGGCCAAGATACCCAGGGTGGACCGGTTGTTCCGAAGGCCCAGCGAGCGGTCCGGATAGGCTGTAGGCCCCACGAGGGCGGACTAGACGTGCCGAGGCTCGGAGAGTGGACCAGGCCGACTGAAGGCCCGATGCGGGCGGACTAGTCATACTGTAGACTCAAAGAGTGGACCAGGTGGGTTGAAGGCCCGGTGCGGGCGGACCAACCACACTGTAGACTCGAGGGACATGACTAGACTTGGAGGGTGGACCTAGTGGAATGAAGGCCCGATACGGCAGACCAGTCACACAGTAGACCCGAAGTGCATGGTTGTTCTATGTTCTGTTATGTTATGTATGCTATGTATGATATGGGCTGGAAGGCACTATGTTATGGGCCGGAAGGCATTATGATTTGGACCGGAAGGTCGTAGCCTGGAAGGGCGTATATGTGGTTGGTATTTTGGGGGTATCTCACTAAGCTTTCGGGCTTACAGTTGTAGTTTAATGTTTTTCAGGTTCTTCAGGAGACCGTGGCAAGGCGAAGGCATGATCGTACCGCTCCTCGTGTTTATGTTTATGACATGGTTCTAGGAATACTCTGATAATAAATGTATTGAAAACCTTTTTGTAATAACATTATTAAAATGGGTTGTTTTTGAAAGTTTAAATTTTGTTGAAAATTTTGGTCATTACAATTTATAATGAGTAATCTTAACTAAGTTATAGTATATGTTACAAGGATTCCGTACATATAAAGAACGCCAAAATACGAGTTATAACGAAGAAGTTATGACCTGTCGAAGTTTCGCAACAGAACCGGCACGACGCCGAATGACGTAAAATACGAATTTAAGAAAGAACGATATCTAGCCTTAGTAATCTAAACGAAAGTTGAAGAGTTCGTTAAACCGAGAGCGTGCATAAAAAGAACATCCAAATCTGACTTCGTATGAGAAATTTATGATTTTTCTAAGTTTCGACTTAGCGGTATGCAGCCCGAATACTTGATTTGAGATCGAGCGGTTTTTAGCTGAAGCAATCTAAACGAGAATCGAAGATCTCGTTAATAGTAGTGAAACGATAAAAAGATAGGCGAAAACGGACATCGGATGAGGAAGTTATGAATTTATAACGAAGTTTTCCTATCCCTAGGGATGTCAACGGGGGCAAACGGGAGCGGAAATAGGTGCCCCCGCCCCCGCCCCCGAAATCAGCTTTTGCCCCCGCTCCCGCTCCCGCCTCCGGTTCCCCCGTTTACACAGCCCCCGGTCCCGCCCCGGTTACCTCCATCGCCCCCGCTTCCGCCCCCGCTCCCCCGGCTTAAAATTAGATTTTTTTTTTGCTAAAAAACGGCTTTGTTTATGGCAAATCTATCTATTTATTTAGGCAAACAACAAGCATCAATAAAATGATTAAACATTCTCACTAGAGGTTGCAAACATCAAGCTTTCTACAAAATTTGATCAAACATTCTTACTTGTAGCTAATTAATTTATAGCAACAATATAAATGATTAAGATACAATATATGAAATTAAGAAACCTGGAAAAGATTAATTGCAAGCATCGAGTTCTATAGCAGTATTCTACAAACTTATACTTAATTCATTGATAACATACAATATATGAAATTACAAAACCTGGAAAAGATTAATTGCAAGCAGCAGAAATCAGTGGGAGTGATAAACAGAAATCAGTGAGAGTGAGAAGCAGAAATCGGTGAGAGTGAGAATTTAGAAGCAGAAATTGAAAGCAACAGAAATTGATAGCAGCAACAGGTGGTATTTACTGTCAATTGTGGAAGGCTTCGGCAGCGGTGAGCCGGTGACGGAAGAAAGCCGAAGTCGCAGCCTCGCAGGTAGCCCGTGGGAGTTGGAGATTGGAGAAGTTGCGTAGGCAGTCGTCAGTACTCACTCGCCACTCGCCGGTCGAAGACTGGGAGTACAGGTCGCTGACTACGGGAACGGGAAGGAGAAGGAAGATGAAGTCCTCGACGACTCGACGTCGACTCCTCGAAACTAGAAAGTCGCCCTTCCTATTTGCCCCCCATTCGTGAGTGATGATTGAAAACGGACGGAAGAAAGATGAAGCCCTAATTTTTCATTTGTAATTTCCATTA